GTTCCCACATCAAGTTCATATGATCTTCCTCCCCATGAGGTTACCACATTGAGTTCAGAGTTTGATTCCCGTTTGAGGTGATTTCTGCCCACATCCCCTGGAGCTGGGGACAGCTATTTCAATTCTACCCCTGAAGTCCCCTGTGTACATATTTATAACCAAAGTTTAAAGCCGTATATGTAAGTGCATATATAAAGGTTATTGTTACACACAATAATAGATTTCTGTGTTCAGAACATTTGAAACTACTGTCCTTTAACCAGCTCCTTACCAGGAAACTCTTGGTCCTACCTATTTTCTATCAGTATGAACAAGACACTTAAAGTAGCAATTTATACCATCTAAAGGTTCTAAACTTTTCACTGACCTTCTTGGGCAAGTAACAGGACCTTACTCATGTATTTGTCCAATTAAAAGTGAACGAGCCCTGCACAGTGAGTTCTCCATCACTGTAAGTCTTGATGAAACAGATACAGAGCCATTTACATGAATGGAATACCTAAGGGTGAAATAGCAGATATTCCATCACCATCCGTGCACCAGCTACTCAGAAGATCAAGCAAAGAACCAGTTCTCTTGCTGACCAAGCAGAAACCTTATGCGTAACCAGGATAATGCCTTAAAATGGTTTGGTTTATATTCTGAAAGACGTTTTAAGGATCTAGCAAATCACCTGCGGTCGTTACCCCAACCAATTGATTTCTCCCTCCAGAGAGCTATTCTTTCATACAACTTTTTGAGCTGATAAGCTGCAGGACAGCAGCCACAGCAAGGAAGATGAATTGCAAAGGAAGACCAGTGTAATTTGACATCAATAACATAAGGCATAAAAAAAGGTACACAGTTATTACATTAAAACTTCAGGAGATCCTCGGACAAAAGGAAGACTTCGTAGCAAACAATATTCTATAAATTGCTACTGCTAAAAAAAGCAGCCTTGGGAAAAACTTTAAAGTCACCAAATATGAACCCTGACAAGAAATACCCAAGCAATCAGGCCTATATTCATGGATTAAAACAACAAAGCATAAGCAATATTACATAAAAAAGCAGAAAAAGCATCAGAAATTCACAACATCGTTGTGTGTTACTGACCCACATCGTAAGTTTTGAGTTTCTTCTTCAAAAATCATCAGCCACACAAAGACCAGACAGCAGTCAGTTCACTTGGACAGTATTCCACCAAAAAAACAGCCACACATCCCTTCCAAAGAGCTGCCACGGAGTACTCCAGCAGTAGATTAGCTATCATTATGAGATTGTACGAATTTGAAGAATATTTCAGATAGTAGAAACTGCAGTGGGAGAGGATAAAGCCTTCTCCAACAACCCAGAAATCCAACAATTTCTTTTAACCAAACTGCTGCATTTTCTAAATGAAAATTAAGGGTTTGGATGCTATTCTTCCAGATGTGCTGAGCCCCTTTCCTGTCCATTCGTAATTCAAATTTGTTTTCCTGATAAGGAACAGCGGATTACAATGGGTTAAGGGGACCCTGCCCACACTGAGCAGGTACCCCGTGGGCCTGGGGCAGCATGGGTGTGCAAAGCTGTACCATCAGATAGCCAGAACTGTAGGTAGGTATTATTTCCCCCCACCATCTCACTGAAGATTCATTCACAAGGCTTTTTTTTTTTTTTTTCGTATTCTATTTAATTTTAAAAGGTATTTTTTTAACAGTAGCCTCTTTTCTCAGTTTGCCTAAATCCACCCTTTGCTTTGTTCCCTCTTGTGCCTTTCACTTCTCTCCAAGCTCAGGTTCTCCTTCCCTTGAGGAACAGAACTGTGGCCTTCCCTTCCTTTTACTTCGTATCTTCAACCCTCACCCACTTCTCCCCACCTCCCAAATAACCCCATCTCAAAGCCCTGCACTTGGTGATAGGACTTCGGGAAAGACTGTGTCTGGAACCAGGCAGCAGAAACACTCCTATTCTACCTTTTTACTCAAAAGTAACTCTCTGATCCTCTCTGCTGAGAAAGACTTTATTGGAAGAACAAAGCCTTGTGCTTCACATTCCCTACTAGGTGCACAGGGGTTTGCAGCTCTTTCTTCCTGTTACCTTCTGGGAGCTTTGAACCAAAACCTTTTAAAGCTTTAAATGACTTTAATTCTGTGTGAAAGAAGCTGTGGGCAGAGGGTGAATACGTACGGATCACCTGCAAGGACGGTCAGGGAAAAGTGTTTCTCAGTGAGCTCTCTTGGAGAGTAGGGCAAAAAAACTTGAGTTACAGGCAAATACCAGGTCGTTCCAGAGTGGGACAGTGACCAAAAGCTCTACGGACCCTCCTCCCCGGAAACCTCACGAGCCCCAGGTTTGAAGATACACTATGTGAAATCATCTTGAAACCACAACTTCATCAATTGACTGGGACCAGCACTTTCCTACTTGCTGTGAAATTCTACTGTAGCACGTATACTCATCTGTCTTTCCAGGTAGAACGTGGGGGCAGAACTCTTTAAGAGAAGCAAAGGTTCACAAAAATCATAGATTTTGCACAGAAGCAATTCTACGCTGTACAAGCAGAGGTTGTTTTCATGTTTTCCTCAGTTTACGAGGACGCGGGGATTTTAGAAAGTTTAGAGCATAGATGAAGATGGACTGAATGCTTTGCAGCCAAATAGGAAGATACATCTGAGTCAGAGCAGCTCCAAAATATTTCTGGTTTTTACATTTACAATTGCTGCTTCTCCTTGTCTTATTCTAGGATGGAAGACACCAAAAAGGCTGTGTTCTTATCCCAACTTCTAAAGACATATTCTACTTTGTATTAATCAAGATTATAATCTTTTTGCATTTGAAAGCCTATTTATAGCGTAAGCAACCGATCCTCTGAAATGATGTACCATTTGATTTTCCCACAGAAGCTGGCTGAAACATACATCAGCGCCTCAGAACTTCCTCTGAACTATCCAATCACCCTACAGTATCTTTACCCCTTTTAAGTTGAAAAACACTCAAACGAAAGTCTCAGTGTCTGCACACATACCATTTATTTCATAGTGAAGGACTTCATTTTGCTCTCCACACAGCCAACACCAGGCACTCTCCCTTTTTACCCCAGCCAAAACTTTGACAGTTACACTGCTCATTGCCCACAACAAAAGCTTTTATTAAAGGTAAGGTTTCTCATGGCAAATCCATATCCAATATTGTCTTTTCTCCCCTCACATCTATTCCATCTCACTGAAAAGCAGGGCTGAATTAAATTTCTTTCCTGAGTAAGAGCGTTTCAAAGCCTACGCAATATGTTTATTTGAATTTTAAGTTAATGCCAGTCTTCCTCCACATATTTTGGTCACTAATGTTTTTACCAGTAAATAAATCAATCAGGAATGTTGAGAATACAGGGCTGTTTTTTCTGCCAAGTGGAAAAAAAAATAATAGAAAAGCAAGAATAAAATGCTATTGAAGCAGAATCAATTACAAATTGCAAGATAATACACAGTCCAAAAGTTACATCAGAGTATTCTCAGTCCTGCCAAATGCATCTTTACTGAAATTGTTTAGTAGAAAGAAGGCGATATATCATGCAATTATTTAAAGTGTACCAAATATTTCTACAGTAGGTCTTGGTTTTGCAACTGTAACAGTGAAATATTACACGCATATTGCCATCTCATGGATACTACAAATACTTGTTTAAAATTCCAAGAGTGTAATACCTAGCAGGAAAAAAAAATAAAAAACCCAAACAGAATCCACAGCAAATAAAATTGTGGTAAGATTTACAACCCTAAGGCAGGAACTTTACATTTGAAACAGTCCAAAAATCTGCCTCAGATTCTCTCGTAGTAGTTACTATTTTTATGACTTGGCTCAGACTTGCTTTAATCTCTTTATTTAGGGAGAAATTGCAAGCTTGCCAACTCTAGCAAATGTTAAGTACTTTAGTAAATTCCCCATCAATATAGGTCGTGCAATCGAGGGAACGAGAACGTGGTGACTAAGTTCTGCTCCATCTCCTCCAAAGGGGATTTCAGAGTAAGAGGCTGATGGGAGAGAGCGATAAACAATGTGGCTAAGCCCCTCTTCCAGCTCTGTCCTACTCTCCAGACATCTGTTTGCACTTTGTTTTGCCGTGATTGAGATGCTACGTGATGTAGCTCACCCAGCCTGCTGTTATCCTCCATCCCTTTTATCTCAACAGGCAGGAGAGCACATGTATTGCCAATACTATCGCGCCATAACTCTTCCATTAAAGTTCATTAATAGTAGCGAAGGGAGTCCAATCAAGTCAGCAAAAACCACTGGAAACCCAATAGATGTAAAGATAAATGGCATAAGTATAAGAAACGGTTGTAAAAGCCTATGCAGACTTTCCGGAATACCTAGCCAAATTACTTAAACCCATCAATTCCTTTCTAAACCCAGAGTTTTGCTTTTAGAAAACTTGGCAACCGACAAACACAAAGGTGTACCGTTTCCGAAGCTATTCTCGAACAAACCCATCTCTCTACCCAAACAGCTCGGACCTCAAGTACACAAGTTTCGGGTCCTTGCTCCGCCTCATCCAGCAGGACCTCCAGCCACCCCCGGCACTCGGGGTGACGGGAGTCACCCGGTGACCGAGCCGGAGCCTTCCTCACCGAAGGATGCTCCCCAAAGCCGCCTCCCCCCCGACCTCACCCCGGGCGGAGGGCGGTGGAGCCCCCGCCCCGAAGGGTCTCTCCTTCCCCTTCGCAGCGTCCCCGCAACCAGCCGCCGCATCAGCAGCGCGGAACGGACACGCCGGCACCGAGCCCTCCGCAGCACCGGCCGCCCCTGGGAATAACGGGGAGGGCAGCCCGGCGGGCGGGAGCGGAGGGCACCGTACCCCCGGCGGCGGTAACGGCGCTATCGACCGCGCAAAGCAAACCCCACCGGGCAGCACACCCCGGCTCCCCGCATCACCGGCAGAGCACCGGCTCCCAGGCAGCCGGGGATGCTGAGGGAAGGGAGGGAGGGAGGAAGGAAAGGAGAAGCGGGGGGGGGGGGGAAGCAAGAGAAGAAGCCATTACCAGAGTTTTGTTCCCGTTCTTGCTGAGGGGGCCTCGGAAAACTCCCTTGATGTTGCGAAAGTGCCCGTTGCTGAGATGCGCGGAGCTAATGACGATGTAGTAGCACTCCATGGGGCCGGGGCCGCCCCCCGGCCAGCGGCGGGGG